CTATCGTAGGTGAAAGGCAGCTGCAGCGCGCGTTTCCATGAACGGCTGAGCTGGAATTTTGTCACTCGTTGATGCGACCACAGAAGGGTCTAATAAGTAAATTGGAATACAACCAATAGATACAGTGTAATAATGAAACCAATGGCAAACATGAAGACGAAGACATAAATTGAGAATGCACTGCTCGCTTACATTCACTGCTAGAATCGCAGATATATTCGCCATGTATAGAGCTTTCTAAAACTTGATTATTCAAAGCCGTTGACAGTGCTCTAACACTCTCTCCCTCCCTACCAATCCCTATTTTTTATTATCTTCTTTGTTATCAACACATTACATATCAATGGAATGTACGACAAGAAGCAGACTAGTCTGTCTGACCAGATAGTCCTGCCAGCCCGTGTCTTGGTTAACAGATGCGAAACCATTCATTAAAAAAATATATACGCGAGAAAGCAGATGCACCGTACGGAGGGGAAAAAAAGCCTATCACAACGCAATGAGCTGTCGTTCTTGACACGCACACAAAACAAATTCAATCCGTTCTTTCGTTTACAAACGTCTCAGACCACATGAATGGTGTTTGAGGTCTTGCTTATACGGTGCAGGTATATAGGACAAGAAATATGATTTAACAACGTAAATTGGACATACGAACGCTTGGAAGGCGCGGAAAATTGGGACATAGAAAACGAGAGACACATAGAAGCCCAAAATGAAACCTGGATTTATTCACAGAATACACATATGGAAGCAAAACGCAAGTGAAAAGGGAAATGTAAGAGGGAAACTGATATCAAGGGTCTTCAAGAGACGGGATCTCACAATCTAAAACCGAACTATATAGAAGCCACCCACCACGTCCTCAGTGATGGATGCCATTTGCCTTCTTCTTCTCTCTTCTCCACATCTTTAATACCATCACGCCACCCCTACAGGCGCTGTCGCTCTCCAATTAGGGCTGTCGAAGTTGCGTCTTTTCCTTTCCTCAAGCCTGTCTGTCTTCCAATCTAAATGTGATATAAAGCAAGGTTGAACCTTCCGTCTATTATTTTTTTCTCCCCTCGTGTTCTTTCTGTTGTATACAGGGTGTCTGAAGAAATATAAGAAAAATCTTCAAAATTAAGAAAAAGATTCCCATGCTGCCTTCCTCAAGGGGAGACATGTCACTTGAAAACTTTTTTCTTAACCATCTTGATCAAGGCTGATGGAACTTGCTGAGTTTACGTGTATTTGTTGGCTGATACTGGATAATTTATTGTTTTTGAATAGTAACTAGTTTCCAAGATATCACGAACGCCCCTCTTTTTTGTTCAGGACCTAATTAGCTAACTAACAGTAGCCTTGACAGCAATGTAAAACCCACAGAAACCCTTGCAGATGCTCATAGTGTGTCGCAAAAGGGTAAACCACTGCTATAGGCCATTTTTTAGCAAAATTGTGGTCTGTTGAACCAGATTCAGACTATGCGTTCATTGACACTTGAAACAATAGATCCGACTTTGAACCTTTTCTCATGAAAGTATTATGACAAAATTTGCCTTACAGCACATCGCATCTGTTTACCTCAGAAACAAAACATAAATCGTTATTATAACCCAGAGAGAACCATGCTCCTCCGTTACAGAAAGGACATGAAAAACTTATCCTTGTTTACTTTCGATTAAACTGGTAGGATGCACGTGTTTTCGGTTTTTAATGTAGGCTAATGATATAAATTGACGGCATTCAGCTGCGAAAAGTTGCTAATAGGTGTGCGATGATCTTAGAAATGTGCAAGTATTGTCAGCGACAATGCTTTTTTTGCTGATTTTGGCCCTTAAGTGACACGCCCCCTCCCCTTAATATGTATAGAAGCATGAATTGTAGCAGCAGTTGAGGAAACTAAGTTAACCATATCTTTAATTAGTGGCGTTTGTTCCGATGAGAAAATTGCGACCCTTCTTGTGTGGAGAGCCAATTGCCACTTTCAGATTACATAAAAGCAGCCGCTGACAACAATTAGCAGTAACATGACAAACTTCGTCTGTAAAGCCGAAACTAAGAAAAGGGCGATTGTCGTATTCTTCCGGGACGTCTAGAATGAGCGAGCATTGTTATCATCATCATCATCATCATCATCATCATCATCATCATCATCATCATCATCATCGTCGTCGTCGTCGTCGTCGTCGTCGTCGTCGTAATAATAATAATAATAATAATAATAATAATAATAATAATAATAATAATAATAATAATAATAATAATAATAATAATAATAATAATAATAATAATAATAATAATAATAATAATAATAATAATAATAATAATAATAATAATAATAATAATAATAATAATAATAATAATAATAATAATAATAATCGTCGTTGTCATCATCATCAATAACCTGATTACACTCACTGCAGGGCGAAAGGCCTCTCCTTAGCTTTGCCAATCAACCCGGTCCTGTGCTTGCTGCTGCCACGTTACGCCCGCAAACCTCTTAGATCTGACCTCCCCACCTCATTTTCTCTCTCCTCCTCATGCGTATGCCTTCACTTAGAATTCCGTCAGTTACCTTTGATTGATTTGTGGGGTTTAACGTCCCAAAACCACCATATGATTATGAGAGACGCCGTAGTGGAGGGCTCCGGAAATTTTGACTACCTGGGGTTCTTTAACGTGCACCCAAATCTGAGCACATGGGCCTACGACATTTCCGCCTCCATCGGAAATGCAGCCGCCGCAGCTGGGATTTGAACCCACGACCTGCGGGTCAGCAGCTGAGTACCTTAGCCACTGGACCACCGCGGTGGGGCAGTCAGTTACCTTTAATGAACAAAGGTTACCCTGCCCACGTGCTACTTGCCCGGTCCATGTTGGTGCCCTTTTGTGATTGCAACTACGATATCCTTGAGCCCCGTTCGTTCCCTGACCCACTCTACTCTCTTCCTGCTTCTTAAAGGGTCACTAAAGGCAACTATTAAGTCGACGTTGATTTTTAAAATAGCGGCCCAGAAACCTCGTAGTGTTATTGTGTGCCAAAAAGTGTTTATTTTGAAATAAAATCACGTTTTAGTGGCTCCCATTGCGTTAGCACACTTCGAAATACCCGCCTCAAGCAGAAAGTCTTACGTCACTGTCGCCATGCCTAATGTGGCCCGGCTTAACTGTTGACCGCCGACACTAGTAGCAGCAGAACGATAGCGGCTGAAACCCCAGCAGCAACAACGACTATTGAACAATTTCCTGCCGTTGGCTCCGAGATGGCAGACGTGCTTGCTTAAACTGGGCTCCGCTAGATGACACGACCTGTCCAGTTTAACCAAGCGAAAATTGCACTTTCGAACCACTCGTGCCTTTCTTCATGGTAATGACAGGCGGATCTTTTTTCCATGAATAAAACAAAAGCGAAATAAAGTATTTTATTGCATCCTTTGATGTATGGGCGGTTCTTTATTTGGTGCAGCTAGTTTGACTACCATGAATTGTAGGCTGTAACTATGATGTCATCGGGACCTTCTTAAGAATGCTCTACTGCGGTGCATGTGTTCACGTGCATATACCCTAATTTATCAGTAAGTAAGGCATTGCTGTTGATAATATTGTCGTTTTAAATGTTGTCATACATTAATATATCACTCTCCCGTAAATTGTTATTGAGTATAGTGCATTTTCCTTTGCATTGCTCGTTGCAGTGTCCTCAAATTAAACCCTCCTTGTGATCCTCCAGCTTTTCGCTGCGCAGGTTACTGCCGTAAGATGTAACTGTTATGTTATATACTTCCCTATTGAGGGATAGCGGTGGTCTACCATTCTCGGTTTGAGAATGATTGCCGATTGTGCAGCACCTCATCTTTATTCGTCTAGTTATTTCACTCTTATATACGGTCCGGCTATGTGGCCACTACCTTTCTTAAGTAGACGTATTTCTTTACAACTTTAATGGTATCGCCACCTATCGCAAAGCGCCGCTCTGTGCCGAGACTGCTGCACATTACTTTAGTTTGATGTATAATGATTTCCATACCAATTCTTCAGCTTTCCGTGTCGACAGCCGTAATCATGAGTTATAATTATTCACCTGAATCACTTATCAATGCAATGTCATCGCTGAAACGCAGGTGACTATACGATACTATTTATTAATTCTTAACTCTTCCCAATCCAGAACCCTGAAAACTTCCCGCAAAAGCACGGTGAATAGCATTGTGCAGCTGGTGTCTTCCTGCCTTACATTCTTGTGTCTTTATTGGGGTTCTGTCACTTCTAAGGAGGACTATCGTGGCAGTTGATTCGTTGTTACGTTCAGCATGTTTGAGTTGACTTCGTCGACGCCCTGAATCCGCAATGCCTGCTTTACTGCTGATATGCGGCGACCGAAGCAAAAGGGTCGCTTTACCACTAAACTGAAAATTTCTTAGTGGTTGTGCGGATCTCGTTTTCTATAAGAGCAGGTATGGCACACGCATGTTGACAAATGCAGAACCAATACCATTGGAATCGTCGCCATGAACAGTGACGTCATTCATGACGTCGGCTAGTTGCCGTCATCGGAGCTTCGGTTTCGCCGGTGCAATTCGTTAAATTTCATTCCTCCGCAATAATTACAAAAGGCGGATTTTTCCGAATATCAAAGCGGCTTTGGCCTCTTCGCAGGATGAAGCACAGCAATGCCCCCATTCGACTTGACCACTCATTTCAGCTACTGAAAGAGATAATTCATTTTACTTTATTACATCTCTAAATGCTGTGTCACGTCAAACAAAACAAATCTCTCCCCGCAGAAAAAATGTAATCACAAAAGCAGTGGGGAAAATAACCTATTTTCCTTTCTAATGATTTTCGAACGTTTCTTGACACACCCTTGTGTTTCTTCTGTGAATAAATCCCGGTTTAAGTATGCGCTTGCACCACACCCTCTATATGTCGTTTGTTTGCAGAACCATGTTTGCATAATAGATCTATATCAACTGCCCCTCCTATCAGCCTCTTCTGCAATAACCTGGATATCCTACCTCACAATGACGCATGTCTGGTCACTCATGTCCAGATGTCCAAGAAGAAATGCCTCCAGAAAACGCTCCCAGCGCCACTCTCCTTTGAACTCGGCCGCCAATGCAGTGATCGTGGTCTGTGAGATATTGCTCATGGGTGTGAGGGTGTCGTCCGGAGGACCGCCGAAGGACCGCAGAGACCAGGCGAACTGGAGGGCATCGTCCAGAGACTTGGCTTCTCCCTTCATCCTTCATTCGAAGAAATTAATAGTTATGAATAACACTCTAATTCAATTCAATTCTTTTATTTCAGGCCTATATACAAGAGAAATATGTCCAAGAGGTAAGGCGAAAGGAGACTCATATCTCCTGGCGAGGTTTTTACCCAAAGTTGTGTGTTTCGTGTACGGCAGTGCCAAGGAGCATATTTGGCACGAATGGTCCGTTTTAGGTCATTGTCAGACACGGCAGTAGTTGAGTGACACTAATAAAATTACTGTAAAACTACTTTGATTGCGATAGTAACTATATGGGCTCTCGAAGCACATTTCTTGTCGTCGCCGAGGCCGTCATGCTCTGTAATCCTCAATTGATAAAGCTGCCTCGCGCGTCGTATGTTCTGTGGGCGAGCGAGCGTGCATGCTGGAAGGCGCTGTATAGGGACTAGGCAACCCCTTTCATTCTTCGCTAGAGGAAAACGCACCGTCATCGGTAGCAACGTTGTGCCTCTCGAATACTGCATACTAAGGAACAGCACGCCATTCGTAACGTATGTTAACTATTGGTTCCCACCATCGTAATGAATGGCAAAACGTGATCGTATGATATTACCATACGATCACAGGTCGGGAGAACGTGGAGCTCATTCTGCCGCCCTCAAGAAATATTAGAGTAACAGATAGCTAATCTGAATGGTGAGTATCAATGCTGAAGGACAGGGCGTTTAAACATGGAGAAAAGAAAGAAGTATTTCCCGTGAAGACTTGCACACGTGCCGGTAGGATGGGTATAAGTAAGTTGTTCTTGAAGGAAAGAAAAGAAAGGAGCTGATTTCTGTACTCCTTGTAGGCGACACGGTTAAGTTCCTTGTAGGGAATGGGGTAAGGGTATGTAAAAAATAGTTGAAAGACATAGAAACAAATATACGGAGCACTCGCCACACGCTAGTCAAGAAAGAGGAGAGATGAGATAGGAAAGATGGGGGACATATATGGTCAAAAATTGGGGGACCCTTAAGCTTCGCCTTTAGGAATTGAACGCGATATCGAAAACCGACCCCTAGTGCGCCCTTAAACCACTAAGTGCATACTTGTTAATATGTTTTTTTTACACACACACACACACACACCACACACACACAACACACACACAACACACACACACACACACACACACACACACACACACACACACACACACACACACACACACACACACACACACACACACACACACACACACACACACACACACACACACACACACACGCGCACACACACACACACACACACACACACACACACACACACACACACACACACACACACACACACACACACACACACACACAGTAGATTGTACCAGCGCGCGCGCGCGAATGGTACATACAGGTTTTTGATTTAAAGCAAGAGTCGCATGGCCTCGAAGATTCACACCATGCGCTCGCCATCTCGGAGGTCATAAAGAGTCTCACAATGCCTCACAGATGGCAGCAAATTATCTAGCGTTTGCTGTTTGCTTGATCAACGCCACTGGAAAGGCATGATATGTTTCCCACTATAGATGGACATAGTTGTCTATTTTTAGAGCTGTTTGCAAGTTTATGTGTATTTTTAGCGGCGATGGCTGGACTGTTCCGGCCTTTTTCGACGTAGTCTGAGGCCTCCCAATAGCGCTTACAAATCGCTGAATGGGCTAGTTTTTGTCGAGACACCTGTCGAACAAAATGCGTTAAAGGGGCCCTGAAGCACTTTTTCAAGAAACCATGGAATGAATCAACTAGAAGATTTATTGCCTCACGATTTCGACGCCCCTAAAATTTTAAGAATCTGTACAGTGCGAGGGGAGTTACACAAATTCTCTCTCTTCTCTTGTCCCAAAGAAAGCGCTGGAATCTAAGCAAGGAGGGGTGGCAGGGGCAAATAAACTACGTCACCCACGCCTCGTGACCTTGGTCACTTCCTTCTATTTTTTTTTCTTCGAATGCGCGGCTTTTTTCAGTGTGATTGCGTGCGCACGCGTGGACAAGTAGCGCCCTCCCGCAGCGATCTCTGTAACGAGCTTTTGCGCTCACAGACAATTTTTCGCTCACAACCAAAGGGTCCAACGCCGACGGCGGAATTTCTGCGACACGAGCTCCCTAACGCTATCGCGTTAAAAGAGTCCGAGGACGGGGCACCACTCGGCGAGAGCTACACGGCGTCTGGAGACCGCGGATGGCGAGCCGATCGGCGAGAGCTACGATGATGTCGGAGATCGCCAACATGTGGAAAATTTTTTGTCCTGATCATAGCGGCGAGGCGATTTAAAAAAAATAGAATCACAGCGACTCGTAATAGAATGACAGCGACTCGTAAAAATAGAATAGAACCGGGTGGGTCAAGCCGTCAAAATCGCATCGACGTGTTTTTTTTGGTAATGACATCTGTTGCACATTTTAAAATATGTTGGAAAGACTTCCTAAATGACTAAACAGGCGTGCTCTTCTCTACTGTTCATGGAAACATTATGATACAACAACGCACAGATCATTACATAACGTTCGAGAAATTCTTGAATTTTTCATCGTGTCCGTGTTGGTGCGTCCCGTCCGTGAAATAAAGAAATATATTTCGCGCTCAGGGTTCAGTCAAGCTTGGAACCAAGAAAAATTTTCGCAACAGGACTCACTGGAGATCGGATCATACTTTTTTTTTAAAACCCGACTCGCTGGGACTCTGACGCGCACCTGCGGGATATCCCTGCATGCTTGCCGACTCGCATGCGAAGGTCTTTTGTTAAGCGCGGCTAGCTCCTTCGCTGAAGCCCTTTGTACGGCGTCAAGATGACACGCGATGCTCGTGCTACGAAGTGCGTTATCTGCACGCCTCTGCGTTGGAAGAATGTTGACGCGAAGTCATCAACCAGAACCTTGAACGCAGCTCAGAGACGGCTGGGATGAGCTGGCCAGATCTCGAAGCCCACATTTACGTAACCAGATGTTTTCCAGATTCCTACGCGTCAGTAGTGCTATCACTCTTAAGCGCGCACGTCAATGAAGCGAATGTGACGAGCTTCACTTCGCGAGCGATGTCGAAAGAGAGAAGTTCCCAAGCCTCCTTCGTCAGACTCACCCTCACCAATCTGTGCGCGCCCCTCACTCGTTCCCCCAGTCCACCGAGCCTCACCCTCGGCCATCTTTGCGCGCTCATCAATGACACGCCTTCCTGCTGAGCTTCGCCAATTTTAACACAGTAGCGTCGGAGAGCTCATATCGCAGAAATTCCGTCATGGCGTTGGCACCGTTGGTTGTGAGCGAGGAATCATCCGTGAGCAAAAAAAAAAAAATCAATAAAAGCAAATAAAATAACGAATAAGATTTTCGGTTCCATTGAGGATCAAACCCGGCCAGTTCACGTGGCAAGCAGGCGTCCTACCACAAAGTCACAATGTTACTTGCAGCTGCTTCGAAAAAAAAAAAACAGTACATAAATGCCATGTAGTGGAAGAAGTCTCCTTAGCGCACTTTGTTCGACAGGTGTCACGACGAAAACGAGCCCATTCGGCGATTTGTAGGCGCATTTGGGAGCCCGTAAAATTACGTAGAAAAAAGCCGGGATAGTGCAGCCATCGCCGCTAAAAACACACAATAACCTTCAAACAGCTATAAAAATGGACAACTATGTGCATCTAGCGGAAAACAAATCATGCCTTTCCAAAGGCGTTGATCAAGCAAACATCAAACGCTAGATAATGTGCTGCCATCTGTGAGGCATTGTGAGACTCTTTATGGCTTTCGAGATGGTGAGCACGCGGCGTGTATCTTGGAGGCCACGCGACTCTTGTTTCAGATCAAAAACCTGTATGTACCACTTGCGCGCGCACGTGTGTGTCTGTGTACCATTTTGAGATATTAGAGAGTTTTAGTACTGCGTACGCTGCGTACGTGGCGGCGTTGCGTACGTAAGGACGCCGCGTTCTGCGTAGTGCGCATGCGCAGACCGCAACGCGCACGTATCGCGTTACGTACGCAGCCGCTACGTACGCACGCATGAGATGCGTGCGTGCGTACGTATGAGGTGATCGCGCCGCCCTCGAACAAGTTCGCGGCAGCGCGAGACTTCGTTTTGCAAAATGGCGGCATCGAAGGCAAGCACAGATCGGCTCTGTGGCTTAAAATATGGCCATAATCTGGCTATAACACTTGGATTGGCTCACATTGGCTGTTTCACGCTCGTTACGCCGCTTCACGCTCGTTACGTATGCGGGTATTACGGCGTACTAAAAGCCGATTAGTGGCAAACGACGCCACATAACGCAAGGTGCTTGCGTGATGCGTACGTAGCACCGTTCCGCAGTACTAAAACTCTCTATTGTAAAAAACCTGTCTCGGCTACAGCAGAGTGCCGTTCTAGCTGAGGGAAGTGGCCATGCTGCACTGTCACTACTTTACAATTGATACGTCGCGCTTGCGTGCGCGCGCGTGAATGTGTGTGTGTGTGTGTGTAACAAAAACATATTAATAAGTAGCACTTAGGGGTTGAAGGGCACACTAGGGGCCGGATTTCATTATCACGTTCAACGCTTAAAGACGAAGCTTAAGGGTCCCCCAATTTTTGGCGTGGGATACATCTCTTCCTCTTGCTACCGGGTCCGCAGTCTCGCCACACCGCAAGACCACGAGTGACCAGCGCAACGCCATGAACGGACGGGAAAGGATGGAATTAAAACAGCTTAACGGTTAGGAGCACTACAGTTAGACGCTGAAGTGCATTGCACTCACATCTTCGCAATGAGTTGGCGATGTGTCCGCGAAGCGATGGTGGGCATGCCCAGCACAGCGTCTCCGTCGAACCGCTCGGGCTCCTTGAGGACGATACACGATGCGTCCGACACCTCGGCGACGCTCACTTCGAACACGGGGAAGAACTGCAGCGTGCGGGCCACCTCGGCAGCCCAGGCCTCCGGCAACCTGTGGTTTCTATCGACTCCGCGCAGGTACTGCGCCAGGTCGTGCTCCATGGTCTCCCGGCTGTGCTTTGATCCGTCGCAGGCACGAAAAAACCGGGAAGCCTGTAGACAAGTCGTTGAGGTACCATCAAGCTGCGGGGCATCTCCTTATTCCAAAGAAATGCGCGCTGCTTATAGCTCCCTCCCTCCTCACCGGCCCAGGGCTTGGCTAGTCATGTCTACATGTTTTGACCAAATAAACGAAGCTCGTTTAGGCTCACTGTCTTCTACTCCTATTTATTGTAATTAGGTATCATTGAAATTACCCTGCTTAAAACACCTAAGCCTAAACCACAAATTATAACATGAATCATTACATAATTGCAATAATGACTACTCTTCATCGTTCGTTACTCAAACGATAAAGGGAGAGGTAAGTGGACGATGTAGTGGCGTTAAAGACCCTGTAACCGTGGAAAAGTAACCCCATGAGCTACCTCCTCCAACGCCGACGCTCTTGCGCTTCGTCTTTCCTCGACGATGCTATTCTTGGTCGGTGCTTTCACGTCCGGCGGATCTACTCACAGAAACAGGGTAAATCCCACTCCTGATGTGCCACTCCTTCGATCACCACCACTGCTCACCACTCCCACAACTTATCACGTGTGGGGCCTAAGGGGCGGGCTTCAGCTCTCCCATAATAAAGTACCGAGTACTCTAAATCGTTAACCACTTCTTGTAAATACACAACTCACCACTACACGCACTACTGCAACCGCCAGTTTTCCCGCGTCATTCTACCCCAGTACTCGCCACCAGCTTCGTGGATTCATTACTGTCCTTTACTCAGAATTATTATTGCTAGCAACAGCGACACCCCCTCGTCAGTGCCATGTCAAGCTTTGAAATAGTGCCACTGAAACCCAGCGAGGCTGGGGACAAGCGCGCCACGTGAACACGGAGATCAGAAAGTAACTTTCAGCATGGCGCTTATGCGAAGAAGAAAATAGTAAGTGACGATGTCAAAGCACGCGCTATCTCAAGTGTAGTCGCTCAACTGAAGGCGCTTTGAACAGGGAGCGGCATTGAGCAAAGAATGGTGGCAGCAACGAAATAGTATTCTTAGAGGCAAAGCTGGCCCAGAAAAGCTATAAGCACCAGAACGCTGACATCTTGAAACGTTGTGAATGTTACCATAACAATACTTTTCAGAAGCGCTAACTTGAGACGTTTAAAACACTCAAGTTTTCACAAGACATATAAAAAACAAGCGTGTTCCCTTATTGTAAACGAACGCAAGTTATATCACGTTAATATCAATTACCTTTAGGGAACATACGACTATTTATGCTGCGCACAGAACAAAGCGTTTGCAAATTTGTTTAGTAGATGGCACCACCATCATTGTAACGTTGAGCGCAAGCGGTGCGGCCATGGTATTAGTACACTGTAATAGTAGTACGTAGGTGTTCTGTGGTGTGGCGCTGTTTGCGCAGGCTTGCTTGCGTGCCGGGCTGGTTGCATACAGTGCCTCGTCATCCGTGCTTCTCGTTTCCATGAGCGAAAAACTCGACTTCATGCGATAGTCTCTGACTGCGATGTAACAGAGACCCACGAAACAGAAAAAAAAAAAAAATTCCGCCATATCCACGAAGTGAATGATGATGAGTGGGCGAAGCTCCGGAGGTAAACCTGGTAAATCATGAATCCTCTGTACATTTTGCCCACTCGATTTTATTACATCGCTCCCCCTAGCGTACGTCGCCGCACTAAATCGAACGATTGCCTTCAAGCAATGACACGCGCCATATGTGACATCATTCCTATTTTATAAGATCTCGCGTCTTTCATCAACTACAAGTACCGCTTTCTAGTTTATAACATCTTGCATCTTTTCATCATCAGCTACAAGTACCACCATCTAGTAAACACTACAATAACTAAACGAGAGGTGGCTACATACAGGAGACGGTACCGCCATCTAGTGAACACTGCAAGAACTAAACTAGAGGTGGCTACATACAGGGGACGGTACCGCCATCTAGTGAACACTGCAAGAACTAAACTAGAGGTGGCTACATACAGGCTACAGGGGACGCACAGCCCACGCCCTACGGAGCTTCGCCCCTAAAATGGCAGTGGTTATTGCAGCATACACACGCGAGTGCGAGTGAAAATCACGCGTAAGCTGAGCGTCGTTCCATCATGGCGGCACCATCGTTTTAAAGCTTTTCCGGTAGAGTCTGTATATTAACTCTATGGGTAGTAGTTTTGCGAAGGCAGAGTGGCATTGTAGAGCAGCTACCTCGTATGCATGAGCGGATAGACTTCCGCAGCAACTATAGCGACGCCTGGGAGGCATAGCCTCTGTAGCTCACCTTTATGTGCACAGGCGGTCGTCTCGTCCAGCGGTACTGACCCCACTTGCCGAGCACAGAGCGCACCTCGGCGAGGAAGTGGCTCAGCGCGTCCTCCCGGAGAGACGGACGCCTCGCGTCGCCGCTGCACGCGTACTCGTGGAAGTCCCTGCCGATAGGCATGCAGCATTATCAGCGTCGTTATCAGCTTGAACACTCCAACTACACGGCGAATGCGTTGCCGGTAATTTATTCAATTAAACCAGCACTGTGTTTTCCATAGTCGTGCCACCTTTTGCGAGCTTCCTAAAATCATCCGCCCAGGCCTCGGAGCGCGGTCCAGGCAAATTTTCTGCGTCCCTTGCTACACTCTTCGTCTTCACGCAGTGCGCAGGAGTTTGGAAAATGAAATGCTAATTTCACATCGCTCGTTTATCTACGATACATAAAACACCAAACAAGGCTAAAGTTTCATATTTTATTCCATGTTGCAGTCTTTAGACGTGATTGCAACCATGACATCACAGGTATCAAAGGGATTACTTTTATTTTCCGTATTTTAGCCACGCCTATCTCTGTTTACGTCCTGATTTCCCCACCATACACTGTACGTAGGGATGAAAGACATATGTCACACCCACATGATCACAAGCGGGGTCATGGCGCCATGCAAAACACAGAGCAACCTAGGAAAAATGAAACCACCAACTGGTTGTCAAAAAATAAAATAAATATAAAACTGCCAAATTTCGTTACTGAGGGCTCTGTGATGCTGGCGGTTTATTTTAGGTGTCTTCGAGGCGTTAACATAACAGACCATAAATGAAGAAAGAAATGTCAGATCGCTTTTCAATAGCACTACTGAATGTGGAAAGATCAATATTCCGAATAATAACACAAGAAAAAAAAAAGCGTGCCGAAACCCGGGATCGAACCAGGGACCTTTAGATCTTCAGTCTAACGCTCTCCCAACTGAGCTATTTTGGCATTGCGCTGACTAGAAAACCCTGTCACTAACAGCCGCCAGTTTTCATAGCGATGCGGAGACCTGGAAATGTTTACTTATTTGGGCATTACACATGTATGGTGTGCCCGTGATCGCTTGATGGATCTATCTATCTATCTATCTATCTATCTATCTATCTATCTATCTATCTATCTATCTATCTATCTATCTATCTATCTATCTATCTATCTATCTATCTATCTATCTATCTATCTATCTATCTATCTATCTATCTATCTATCTATCTATCTATCTATCTATCTATATCTATCTATCTATCTATCTATCTATCTATCTATCTATCTATCTATCTATCTGTCTGTCTGTCTGTCTGTCTGTCTGTCTGTCTGTCTGTCTGTCTGTCTGTCTGTCTGTCTGTCTGTCTGTCTGTCTGTCTGTCTGTCTGTCTGTCTGTCTGTCTGTCTGTCTGTCTGTCTGTCTGTCTGTCTGTCTGTCTGTCTGTCTGTCTGTCTGTCTGTCTGTCTGTCTGTCTGTCTGTCTGTCTGTCTGTCTGTCGTCTGTCTGTCTGTAATCAATCAATCAATCTGCGCTGAATTTCTATGGAGGCAAAATGTCCTTCATAATCTTAACAGGTTTAGGATGTTAGGACCCAGATATCTTCAAATCAATCTAATGGTAGTAGTATTGCCGATCCTATCAACTATTGAAAGGAAATGTTCGCAAGCATGTCCCGAACCGAGTGCACAGTGTGTTTTAATGAAGACGATAGTTATTGCGCGAGAACAGAACGACGACAAAGAGACAAGAAGCACACGAAGCCTTCTTGTTTCTTTGTCGTCGTTCTGTTCTCGCGCTATAGCTATTGTCATGTCATAACAACTAACCCAAGCTCCCACACTTTTAATGAAGACATTGTGTTCTGTAAGCTTCTCCTCACCCCACCCCCCTTTTGTTTTTCCTCTTCTCTGTGACGGGGTATGAGGTTCTCTATGCTCATCACATATAAAAATATTCATGAGCAAAGTATATTGTTTCACATATGACAATATCAGTTGCCGCAATGAATATTATCATATGTGATAATCACATATAAAAATATTCATGAGCGAAGTTTAACACAAAATAAATATTTCCAGTAAATAAAAAAAAACCTGCAAAAAGGGTATGCCGAAACCCGGGATCGAACCAGGGACCTTTAGATCTTCAGTCTAACGCTCTCCCAACTGAGCTATTTCGGCACATGGCAGCTGAGTGTGCCGAGACAAACGGAGCTCCAAGATAACGGATTGCTCTTCGTGCGGTGCTATATCATTTTACATTCTTTCTGTTTACTGGCTCGTGTAACATCTAGAATTATTTTTCTCATTCACGTTACCCGAAATGCACAAGCGAAGAACAATTTTAGACACTGGAGGAAAAGTGCTGCAACAACATTATTATATTTGCTCAGGACTGAAATAAAAGCTGCTGATGTGCACATAGCTACGCAGTCAATACATCAATATGCTCAGATTTTAATTTTTCAGATTTATTATTTAAAAATTGCGCTGTTTGAAAAATACCCCTTGGAAGAAAATTGAGTACTTAGGGCAGTACTTCGGGCACGCAGCTATGTTGTCCTATACCTCGTCATTTTAGGCCCGTGTGCTCAGATTTGGGTGCACGTTAAAGAACCCCAGGTGGTCAAAATTTCCGGAGCCCTCCACTACGGCGTCTCTCATAATCATATCGTGGTTTTGGGACGTTAAACCCCACAAATCAATCATATACCTCGTCATTTTGCGCTATCATCACGGACCCAGCATTTCGCAGTCACGAACGCTATGCGTGCTAACGGCGTGAATACTCTGTAGCGTGCACATAGCATTCTGTATAGGCACGGCCGGGCTGGAAAAGAGGCGCGCGCAGGTGCAGTGTAGCCCGGCTGTAGGATAGGGAGTAAGTACTGAAACTCAGCCGCAATGTGGCGCTGTGGTGCGCTGGGTCGGCCGCCATTTTTGTGGTTCTCGCGCAGAAGATGGACCATGTTTGCGACTCTGTTTGCTGTGCTTGCGTGTGGGTGTTCTTTGATCTTCTGTTTCTTCGTCTGTTGTATAAGCAATACTGCGACATAGGAAGTTTCCTCTACAAATGCGTGGTGCATGGATTTGTCAATGTGTTCAGACAGCAACACATTATTACGTGTCATGTTGTACCAAAACAATCATGGTCAACTGCGTGGTTTACGGTGGCTCCAACCGCACAAAAAACAATCTTAGTGACGAGTATATACTTTGAAAGGGTAGGCTTTCATGTCGTGGTGAAAGCGAAGCTAGGACAGTGGGCGACGACAATGGAGCTGTCATCAAGGCGCTGAGCTCCGTGGCTTAGCAGAATTCCGTCGTGAAGACCTGGACGAATCGGGGTTGCATTGCTGAGTTTGTGCCACGCACTACTCCCATTTGTGAACACGTGGCACCGTGGTAAGCTATCCACAAGCAGTGTGCACACAGAACTTCTCTGTCAGCCCTAACAATGGTGGCAGTGGCTTTTTCTCAAAGGCATGTGAGTGGAGGACCTTTACAGTGACAAAGGCAAATTACTATACTCCGCTCACGGGATTATATAGCAGGAGCAAAACCTCAGGCTCGAAAAACACGAGAAACATATCGGTAACTTGATTACTGATCTAGAGAACAGCGGAAAGAAAGTGCGATGGGCTGGACACTTCATCAGCGACTGATTACGCGTCATATAATTATTTTTACGAATAGCTGACATGTGCTTCATTAGGTACACGGTAGATTACCTTCGATACGACGTCAAACTTCACACTCGGGAGATCCGTGAGATCACTGATAATATATTTACAAGCTTTTAACAATCTGTGGTTCATAAATAGCTCCCGCGTCATGAATTGATCGAATAAATCATATAGCTGGTAATATCCGCACAGCGTACACTATAATAAGGACAAACGTCGTTCTTTAAGTAGTCGGATAGCGACAGAGAATCACCACCGCCGCGTTTTGTGACTTTGATGACGTATTAGTTGCGGTCGGTGTCAGTGCATGCTGCAATCACTCCTGGCATGTTAATCTATTTTGTGGCTCTCCGTTTCATTGTAGTTGGAGACTGTCACATAAAGTCGAAATGTGGGCTCACGATAACAATAAACATGGCGCACGAGACACTACGATTGACACGACGCGGCGATCGCATTGGGCCCACGGCAGTGCTCTCACCCTCAAACGTTCATACGCTACAAGAATGGTGGTGCCATGTAGTAAATAAATCTTCAAATGCCGCTTTCAATAGGCAATCACTTTCATGAATGACCATCGCATCTTTGCTAAACGTGGTTGATATACACATCACACATTTTCTGTCCGTTTACAATGCGTGAACTCGCTCTATTTATGATTTATACTGCAAGAATTCGAGTCGTTTGAACAACTATACCTAGTGGTTCATTAAAGCGTTGTAATGACAATAATGACAACTTTTCAAGATGTCAGCGCTTTGATTGTTTTAACTTTTCCGGCCCCACTTTTCTTCTAAAGTCTGCTATATTAAATTTATGAATCGTCTGCTGCTTGACCACAAGAATGGCACCCAGCCTGGTGCACCGCAGCGACACATGACGGCTCTGTTTCGGTGCGTACTTTGTGGCAGACATACCCCGCAAGTGCTCAACTGGTTCTTCGAGTGCAGTTCCGAATGACACTAAAGAGGAAAATGACTGTCTCGCTTTCGTAAATCACTTTTTAATAATAACAAGATCACCACGCTTCCCACGGGACTACGCTTGGTAATAATAAAAAAAAACACGCAAGAACGAAATGAAGGGAGTGACGCCATATTTATGTTCTCGCACCAGACACCATGACGTCTTACATATTAATGGCGTCCACTAAAGCCTGAGGAGTTTCTAATTGGTAAGTTTGAAGTACTTTGGCTCCCGAGAAAGCCACTGACTTTACTAGCCAAGTTTCAGAAAATTTCCTCGGATCAGTGTAGAAGAAAATACGATTGAAACAAGTTGAAATCTGTTACGTCATGTGCGGAGATATCGGCGCGAAAATTTGGGAACTAAAAGGCCATGGTTATATCAACGACATGAATGTTTTCAGACTGCATTTTAGCAGTCCAAACTGATCCGCTGTCTCACTTCAAAGTTTCTTTGTTAGGAAACGGAAATGCCTCGTTTTTTTCTTTATTTATTTTGCGAGCTTTAAAGCGTTAAATGATAGTTCCAAAAATCAGCGGCATAGCAAAAAGAAAGAAAAAAAAGCCTGTCGAGTCACCTGAATATCTTTATATATTGAATAGCTCCCGAGCAGCCATTTTTTGCTTATATTCTCCGGAGCCCGTGCTATCTGACGAAGTCATGCACTTAAAGGTGCTCCCGCGGGCACATGAAAAAAGGCTGCCTTAAACGGTGCACTATCTGATATGCAAAATCTACGTGCGAGCATCGCATACGGTGGCACTCTGTGACGTAGGCACTCGCCTGCATGGATCGAGGCTCCAGGCGACGTTTCGGCGAAGATGTTTGCCCTCCTTGGTGCAGTGCTCGGTCCGACAGGCGAAGATGAAAGGCTGCCGCGGGAACGGAGCACCCGGGTGACTGTCAGGGCCGGTCTCTCCCAGCACTTCGCGCAGGTACTGGCGCACGCGCTGGTGCTGTAGCCAACGAGAAAAAAAAAAGATGAGCTCAAGCGACCCAAATGCAAGACAGGGTAGGCCCTGTACTGACACTCGAACAGATACTTGGGTAAACTTATTTAGGTTTGTGACGTCAACATGTCACGTGTTCGTGGTCAGTCCTGTAGCGTAACGAGCCCTATTTGATCGGTAGCTTCTTCTTCTACTACCACTCCTACTATTACTACTACTACTACTACTGCTACTACTACTACTACGGAATGGTACATTGGACGCGTTGTTAATGATCCATACGTAACTGCGCAGGGAAACGAGCGAAACAAAAAGCAAGACAAAGGTAGAGGCAAGCACAGACTATAACTGAAGCTTGATTGTAAGAACAAGGCAATATATAAACGACCGAATGAAAAGAAAGAAGGGACAAATGAAGAGAAGAAAAAAAAAGGCACGAGGGACCAAATCACAAAAAATCTTGGCCACATCAAGCATTGAACCCCCATCATACACAATCTAGATAGCTCAACTCTGTCATGTATGGCCACAGAGGAAACACATACGCAAGACTCCGATTTCTTGTAAATATGCGCAGCCTGAATAAGTTCACGCAACCTTGATTCTTAAGACGGAAAAACACAGGACTTCAACAAAGTATGGAGCCCAGCCGCATTTCTTGCAGTGAGCTGCTAGGTGAAGGCCGGAGTGGCCTTTTCCAATTCTCAATTTCAACTACAGTTCTGGATCTAAAGTGATGCCATAGGTTTAACTATATGGCGGAACTTCAGAATTAAAATTTCATTTCACAACTAGAGTGCGTTATAAGGAAAGCAGGTAAAAGCTTCTAAAACAGCTAGGAAGACCGAATAGCTGGAACACGTGTGAGAATACGCCCTCCGACGTGTGAAACGGAATGCAGAACCATAAATGAACTTCTCGCAACAACGAACGCGAACCTCTTGTATGCGGGCGTAGATGACCCTCTGCGTGACGTACACGACCAGGCCGGCGGTGCAGAGGCCCGCAATCACGAGGATGGTCAACAGCATGCAGCTCCTGGTTGGGCCAAGCATCCTGAACAGGTCCCGTCGGACCATTTGCGGGCTCCGGGCACGCGCACCACCAAAGGCGCCCTGTGGCTGTTCGTCTTCCCTGTTCACCGCCGTTGACCGAGCCACAGTTGAAGACGTCCGGTTCACGAGTCCTTCCTGGTTCGACAACATGGCCGTCGATGGGCGTTCTTCTTCACTTCTCCGATGACGGTGATCACTCGCCTCAACTTGCGTGACACACGCCCACTGCTGGCCTGGAGTTGGAGACGACGACGAAACATTATGAAAGTGGCATTTATTCGCAGTGAATGAATGAATGAAAAAACTTTATTTCTGTCCTGCAGGACGCGCTTAGCGCGTAGCGGGCGTCTCACTCTATTTTGTTATTTCAGTTATTCTATCCTTGCGAGTTTTTTCTCGTTGGGTTATTGTCAGCAGGTTCTCTGTTCTTTGGTAGAAACTTCTTTTACTAAATCAGGGTGGTCTCAATTTCGTTTATCTAAGTTAGCAAGATTAAGTTATTCTGACTATTCTTGTAATTCATTAGTTATACAATGATCACTTTTTCGTATAAATAATTTGTTTCTAGACTAACACCTCCAAGTAGGTGTGAGCCGTATACCAAGGCAATCATGATCATCATCATTGCCCAGTCCTTTTAAGGCTCCCGAGTTAGGGAGTGTAAGCCATTAAAGGACCATCATCATTGCCTTTAAGGCCCAGTGGTTTCAACTTGAAGAATCAGTTTGGTAGGTCAGTGGGCACCCACGTGGTAAACTAGAACGCTTGTTCTCTCGTTGTGACTCATGTTTAGCATCCGCACTGCGTACACTGAATCTTGTAGCCTTCACATAGGGTTGCAATCTAGGAGGAAACTTACGCGGTAAGAGCACCGACCAACAGCGCAAGAACACCGCGATCACACTATCAATGTATTTGTTGCCATAAAGGTTATTGAAATCACCTAGAGGGAACTTTGGCGCGGCGATCATTTAGCAACCATAGTAATGACGAGTACACAAATTTTCCTATAGCCTTCGTGCTCGCGGGCTTCGAGTGCACTTGAGCCTTTGTTAAATACTGTGTTTTCGTTTTCCTGCTTATTCAGTGCTGTTTTGTTGTTCTTCAATGCTGTGTTTCGGTTTTGTACACTATTAATTGTAGTAAGCATGCGCTGGCTGAGCAACCAAGTTTCCTGCGGCGCAGTCACAGTAGATAACCACAGCAAGGCTCGTGCGTAGTGACGGCGTTGATAAGAAGTGCCAGCCATGGGGAGTGCATGCTGGTACTAAGGTCGCGTGTCGCCGCTCGTAGCAGTTTTTTTATGTGTAGAGTGCATCTATGGGTGGACGGCTGCTCCAGGTACACTTCTGGCACCGTTGTATTTTTGTGTTCAGAGCGCAGCCCGTAGAAGCTCCCGCATTCTGTGGTGGAGAGACTTATTTTCTGACGTTGCCGCGGATAGTGTGGAAACTATAAGCAACCCCCCCCCCCCCCCTTGTTCGCTCACTGAATAAACGCGCAATATATATATATATATATATATATATATATATATATATATATATATATATATATATATATCTATATATATATTTATATATATATATATATATATATATATATTATTCATCTATATCATTTTCGAACACACTACCTCCTTTTATTAAAATGCAAAAAAACATGCAATAATATGAGATGACACTAATATAACACGTTATGCATGCTTAGTTCTACTGTTCCTTCTCATAGCTCTACCTTCTCTAGATTTCATGTATTACAGCTTTATATATATATATATATATAATATATATATATATATATATATATATATATATATATATATATATATATATATATATATATATATATATATATATAGATAAGGGAAAGAAGTATAACCTAAGGGCTCGTTTTTCCGTGTTTTAACAGAATATTAATGAGATCTAACAGACAGTAATGCCAAGGAATGTACAGGGGAAGTTATTAGAACCAATGGAATGTATATAAGAAGAAATAAAGTGGATGAAAAAATAACCAGCCGTGAGCAGCATATATATATATATATATATATATATATATATATATATATATATATATATATATATATATATATATATATATATATATGCGTTTTATAAGGAAAGAAATCATGCACCGCCACAAGCAAACAATCTTTTCGCTGTAGATTATCAACCTTCGACGAAAAGGTTAGATCTTATTGGTTGAAAGATGAGAATCAGCTAGAGGTTTGGCTCAATAATTGGATCCAGAATGTATGCGTATCTTTATTCCCTCTCCCCTATGTCTTTTTTACTCTTAATTTTTTTTCCTCCAGGGCAGGGTAGCGAATTGGGCGTGCATTTGGTTAATCCCCTTGCATTTTTCTCTCTCTCCTCCATGGACGAAGCGCTGCCGAAATGACCGGGTGTAGAGAGGAAATGATAGCCAGCCAGAAAGACACTCATGCCCCCCACTCCAGGAGGAAAAGAAGCGGTTAAAATACCCGAAATACGACAGAAAAAGAAATAAAATGTCGGTCTCAGGGCACTGAAGTGGCGATCGTGGACTTTGCGTTTATATATAAGCGATTGCTATATAGTCACGTGGCACTGGCACCTTGTCATTACAATACAATATTCTAGGTTAGCGCATACCGCGGGGAAGTAAACTACATGTGGATAGACCGTCATTAAAGAATCTATGTGAGACAGTCATACGACAAATATTGCCTAAAGAATGAGTCTTTATTTATCAATGAACACTAGTAAAGAACACCGGTATGAAACAGTGACAATGTAACACTGTAGCAAGCGTTACAGATCGAAAGTGCCCAGAAGGCGCCGCTTTGCTGTCTTGATTTTCCGCTGTGGAACCCTGGATGATTCGGCAGCTCTTCGAAGAACGTGGCGGATGATGTCACGAGTGGGCCATTTACGCTTTCCGCTGGAGACGGCAATCTGGAAACGGCATTTGTCGAGGCAGTGTTGCTCGAGGTAGCGCAGCTCGCAACGAAACCGGCAGCCAAACTCTGCATTGGGGCAGATCACGGTCTCCCTGTACATCGCCTCACGGGAAAATTCCAGCAGATGAACGTCGAGGCTGGAGAACGGGTCTCCGTCGATGACACACGTGCCATTGCGAGTCTCTTCCACGGTCTTCTGGTCCGGGAGTGCAGCTCGCTTCGGTTGGATTGAGAAGGCGACGTCTCGGCATGGTTCGCACAATGTGTGTCCGCAGGGGAGCCGCGCGGCCGTAGCGTGAATCGACCGGCAGCCGGCGCAGACGCACGCACTGGGTAGTCGCCGCAGGAATGTCACGGGTACAGAGTCCAGGAACGGGGACCCGAAGCCACGCAGTAGGTACGAGCTCGAGCTGCGCTGAGAAGACTGCAAAACACGTCTCGAAGGTGAACGGGGTCTCTTGCCACAGCGTCGAGTTTCAGCCTGCATCGTGGAAGTGGCATTCAAGTCGTGGAAGTCGCGACTCGAAGCTGCATGGACAGTGGACACAGCGTTGGCGACACGGTTCTTGGAGTTACTCATGACAACGTTCCCGTTAGCGTTCAGGTTCTTTCAGACAGCCTGAGCAAAGCAGCAATGACTGCGGGGTTGGGGGTGAGCTCCTTATGCCTGAACGACAGACATTCCGAATGACGTCAATAAATAGATGTTTCGAGAGATGAGCGCTCATTGGCTGGATACTCGCAGGTGGGCGCGTTTCGATGGGTCACGTGGTCTACTGTGAGGGGAAACTTCAGGAACACGAGACAATTAAACTTGGCCTATCACTGTGGCCCCTTCTGGTTATAGTACAAGGAATTCACAAGACGCCTTGGACAGGTTTCCTGTGTTGGCTATTCAAACATGACGGCAACCGTGACAATTTATCTTGTTAAAAAGCGTCGTGAAGAGGCGAACATGCATTCGTTCCGCCTCTAAGTCATTTTCTGCTCCCTCCTCTTCCCTCTCATTCCTGCTTGACAGTCATGCCAAGAGTCTACAAAAAAGGCGTGAACACTAATCCGTTGTCACACTTGTTTACGCTTGTTTTCTTGAGGCCTTGGAGTGAGAGTTGAGGATGCGTCTCAAGGAGCTGGTTCCCAAGGATGGTGGCCATATAACTGTCAATTAAAAAAAATGTTTAAGGAGCGTTGAAACACCCACAACTGTAGAGACCACAACACAGGAAGTCAGGAGCGCTTTCCTTGTGCATATTAATTTCTTAGTGTGTGTTCAGATGTTTAGAAGGTGTCGTATTCTTTCCGTAAACATTTTTTCTTGCCGCCATTGCGTCTTTCACTCTCTTGCACGGATAATTTTCATGGTGTGTTCTTGGTTGCAGGTCAAATGGCGTTTTCATACCTTAAACCACTTTTGATGACAAGATCTTTTCGACATAAATAAGCGGAGTAAGGTGGGAGGTTTTGTAAGCTTAGGGTTCCGGGACATGGTGAAAAAGAAACGATAAATATGTGAAAGCGCATATTCTTTGAGGTGAATTAGGTTTGAATGATCTTTTTAGGGGACGTTGATATTCATTTGTTACTGGCAATAACTATTTCTCCGCTAAAAAGTTCTGGTCAAGAAGTATAGCTTTATGAATATTTCAAAAAAGTTGTAGTAAAAAGTAATACCGGCTGGAAATAAAAGATTGTGTTAAAAGTTAAAAGTTATTTAATTATATGTTTACATAATTACATTTAAAAACCTGAGTTGGTCGACGCAGGAATTTTTTATGGATATATTGGAAACAGTGGTGGACAAAGTGTTAAGGATGAAAAACGTGGTAGCAATATTTGTAGTTACGCTGGACGCTGTGGTGTTCAGAACGGCTGATGACGGCGAGGGTGGCAGTATTGTTGGCACATGGTTGTGGTGGTGGTGCAGAGCCCAATGACGAAGACAGGGAAAATGGTAAACATGTTTGTGCGGATGTCTTGGGAACAAGCTCGATGACAGTGGCAATATGAAAGTGCACGTGGCGAAATGGGAAGCCACTGAGTTTTCTAATATTTCCCTTTGGAATGTGCACAATAATATATTCGCATTCTAAGCAAACAAGTACGTTCAGAACGGTTCCTAGCTTGCTTAACTTATAAACCGAGGGAATATATAAAGGCATGGCACAGAAAATGCACGTGCCATTCCTAATCGCAAGAATTTGCACCC